TACGTAAAATCAAAACAATATTTAGGTTGATTGGAGGTCAATCACTTTCTCGCAACTACGCGATAGGGGGCTGACCCAACGAATGCCGGGCAAAAGCGGACACGGAATATTGGGGACACATCATTAAAGAGGGCAAAAGCGGACACTAGAGATTACTGCTACCTGACAAGGGGTTGACAGGTCTCTGCAAATATTTCAAGGGCGGAACATTGCGGACACATGTATTTTTTTTACCTAACCCGCCATGTTAAACTTCCCTATCCCAAGCGTGATGTATACAACTTCCTTACTTCTCGAGTGATGTAAAGTTGAAAAAAACTCACTCGGTGATGTAATAAAACCCATTTAAATAACATTGAGTGCTTAACTTAAAAAAATATACCTCTATGGAGGCATCGACGTTCAACGCTAGAAATCAGCTGTGCGCTTGATTGTTATGCTTTAAAGTATTTTCCTAACCTAGCTTTTGTTTGTAAAAGAACGTTACTGTTAGACGATGAGTGAAATGGATAATGAAAAATATTGTACGTAAACCCATGTATATTGTCGGGTCAGGTAAAATCTTGTACGTTACACGTTGCGCAAGAGCGTGTTTACATCTCTTAGGTGAATTATGCAACTCGCTTCCGCTCGTTGCACAACATTCACCTGCGTGATGTAAAAACGCTCCACACGCTTACTACACTTGTAATGTAAATAGCTATTGTATCTACGACGGGGTAAAAGGTACGAGGGAGGGAGGATTTTATAAGCGTTACGTTTGTGCTTACAATGTTTTAAAAAATTGCTCCAAGGATTTAAAAAACTGGAACTAATAGCCTTCAACAAATGTTGTTATTTATTATGAATATTTTGTAGAGTTTTTATAATTAATTCTTTTACTTTATTAGTCCGGCCATGCTGGTTCGCGATCTCCTTTGAAAAGACTGAGATTCACACGTTTGTTCCAAATGTTGCCAAAATCGTATTATTTTTTCATGAGTTATAGTGTTAATGGACGCAATTATAAATATCTTTATATTGCACTCACATATTTGAACGAACTGTTTTTGTCCTCTGGGGAGCTTAAAAAAAATCAAATCTGGATCGGATCCGGGTCTAGGTCTTGCAATGAGACCTATGTTTAGTGAATTTCCATTTGTGCTATTGGATATACCAACCCTGGTAAACTCACCCTGTGTATTGTATTGTACGGTTGCAAAATTCCAAACAGAAAAATACCAGTGAACTTTATCAATTTACTTGAAACTACTGTATAATTTCCAGTTTTTGAAATCCTTGGAGCAATTTTTAAAAACATTGTAAGCACAAACGGAACGCGTATAAAATCCTCCCTCCCTCGCACCTTTTTCCCCGTCGTAGATACATGTGTCCGCAATGTTCCGCCCTTGAAATATTTGCAGGAACATGTCAACCCCTTGTCAGGTAGCAATAATCTCTAGTGTCCGCTTATGCCCTCTTTAATGATGTGTCCCCAATATTCCGTGTCCGCATTTGCCCGGACACCGACCCAACACCCCAATAACTGGAATGGATTGTTGTGAAAGGAAACTCTAAGAATTTGCAAATGAAGTCCATTCTGAGTAACGTGTGGGGATTAACGGGACATTCTGTACGCTGTTTACAAAATATTTCCTTTGCCTTTCCAAGTACTGAATCTATATGGTTTTGCTTATATTAAACAATAAGTCAAATACTTTGTAGCAGATGTCTTTAGCTGCATTTTACAACAGGTATTTCGTTCACCTTTCTCAGAAATGGCTGTTCATGGCGTGTTCCTGAATCAACAATAAGGTATATTGTGTTATTGTCCTAATAAACACGAGAGACATTCGCCTATCTTTATGGTCGTATTATATAAATAACATTGAACTGATTAATTTAACAAATGATCATTGTTAATTTATTGTAACAATTAGGCTATTTATGTACTGTGCATTTATGTTTTATGTTTTATATTTATGTTTTATATGTTTGTTTTGTGCTGTATTTATGTTTTAGTATATATATATATACTGTTTACATATTTATTTATTCAATCAATGTCCTGACTAATCAATACACAACCTAAACGATAATAACTAGAGATTTGATCATATTGTCATAGCATCTCTTTATAAGAAATCTGTCCGGAGTATGTGCAATTTTGGTTTATTAAACTTATTGGTAAATTGGTGTAAGATTGTTTTATGTTTATTCGTAATCCGGACGCATAATATCTACACGAAGTTGAAGCTTTTGCTTTGGTATTAACAGTCAAGTAAAATAAATAAATAATTAAAATAAATAAATAAATAAATAATCTTATAAATTTAAGAAAATGGGTTATTCGTTTGGCTCTGCTACCCGACCATTTTTATTATTGAGGTCTCAAATTAAAGGTATGCACGCACAGATTTGCCATCAAGCATCGGCGTATATTTTTCTATTATCTCACTCGGCTTATACGTAAACGAAATTGCTCCCCATGTTTTTCTTATGGGAGTTAAATTTGGTTTTCATGATTTTCTTCGTTAGGCTAAACAAATCATGGTAACATTTTAGTTTTTGAGTTGTCCTAATTCTCATAACGTAGTTTTCTAAAGTTATCTGTTGTGGCTGCCTAGAAATAATCGGACGTTTGTTTCTCCTTAGAAAATGTATTGATAATTATAATAGTGGTAGTAAATTATGTTACAAGACTATGACAAATTGCCAATTATTGAGTCAACTTGGTCCCCACGCACAGGCTTCGCATATGTGGGCCCTGTCGATTTTCAGAAATTACGTTCATTCTGTATCCATTATTCTTTTGTTATGAATTGCTTTTGATTTTATTTATTTGATTTAATTTTACAATGGTATTTTGCCGGACAAACTCCATTAAACATATAGCACGGGTCGAGGTTAATTTAACAACTTAAAACTAATTCATTCAACAATAGTTTGCCTGAAAACTATTTTACTAATATTTGTTTAAAGTTTTACAGAATACACTTACACATGATGCTATTGTATGTTTTTATTTATACATGATATAGGTACTTACAACAAAACTTGTGAATTTTTGTGTTTATTTATACATTTATTGTAGGACAACAACGTAAACTTAAAGATAGGAGCGACTGTATGCAATTCCAAGATAGAGTTTGGTATTCACCGATCCTATGATAGTTTAAGAGTATATTTCGTACCTAGGGCCGAAAATGACTTTTTTTCAGCTCGGGATCATTTTTAAGTTCGAGACGAAGATGAAATCGGTCCGTGGTACGATTGCTGTTTTTCACCAAACTATACAAAACTGAGAAAATATATCAATAATGTAGGCAAGCATGTTTCTTTACAACCTTTTTATCAGCTCGTGAACATCACAGAGAAAATATCCGCATATCGGTGGAAATGTATTTTCCTGTCGATCTACAGAATGCCTTTATAAATTAAAATATGCTAAAAAGACATAAAAAAAGAATTACAAATTTTTAAAACTAACATGGGTTTAACGGGTTGCTATGCTGGTGACGAAATAACAACTTATTATGAAAATAAGATCAAAACAAATGGAACATATTCCAATCACATTTATTATTTACAGTGTATGTTAAATGGAGAAGTATGTGTAGTACATTGCATAGTTTTTGTCGAGTTTTCAACCGCTGGACCTCAACTTCATTGTACACTTCATTGTTCATTGATCACTGGGAAATCCATTGTAAACTATAAGAAATGCACACTAATCAATGCAAATACTTTAAGCTTATGTGAAAAAATATTTAAAGGAATCAGCAAAAATAGTAATACATAATTGCTGGGCAGCGGTCTATTGCAATTCATTAGGGATATACTGCTTGTATATTTAATGATATATATAAATGTTTTAATTAAATAAGCGATTTTCGGTACTAGGGCTGGACAATTTTAATCACAACTATAGCTGCCATTTCGACCCTGGACAGCAATGCGTAGCTTTCAGCCTCCAATTAACGTCTGTAAAACTACTAAAATATCGTATTGCGGTGAAAAATATTTGCCAATCATACTCAATCGACTCGGAACACTGCAGTTCCTGATTTAATTAAGGGTATTATTAAAAAGTACTCGTGCAGTAATCAATTAAACAGGGCAACGAATTGAAGGATAGATACAACTAGACTATAAGGACGCAAAATACGCGTAGGTACAACTAGACGTAGGGACTACTAGACGGAGGGACCACGAGTCGTAGGGACTACTAGTCGTAGGGACAACTGGTCGCATCCGTACAAGCTAGGTGATACTACTTGTCGGTGGGATACACGTCTAGTTGTACCTACGTCTACTTGTACCTACGTCTAGTTGTGCCTCCTAAAAATCTGCAGGTACAACTAGTCGGGTGAGCCACCGTCTACTTGTACCTACGTCTAGTTGTACCTACGACTAGTTGTCCCTAGGCCTCGAGGTACAAGTAGACGGAGGTACAACTAGACGGAGGGACAACGAGACGCGGTCCCGCCAAGGTACCTACCGATGGGTCGAGAGGCCACTTGACCTGTGGCGTGCTGTTGTTCATGGCCTCCAGGTTGTCGTGTCTCTGAGCTAACACAAGCTAACCTAGAGTTCACATGGTATTCTTGGTGGTTGCCTAGGTACTTACCAAAGGTTTGAGAGGCCATTTGCCCTGTGGCATGCTGTTGTTCGTGGCCTCCAGGTTGTCGTGTCTGTGAGCTAACACAAGCTAACCTAGAGTTCACATGGTATTCTTGGTGGTTGCCTAGGTACTTACCAAAGGTTTGAGAGGCCATTTGCCCTGTGGCATGCTGTTGTTCATGGCCTCCAGGTTGTTGTGTCTGTGAGCGATCACACAAGCTAACTTAGAGTTCACATGGTATTCTTGGTGGTTGCCAAGGTACCTATTGATAGGTTGAGAGGCCACTTGACCTGTGGCGTGCAATTGTTCATGGCCTCCAGGTTGTCGTGTCTCTGAGCGATCACTCAAGCTAACTTAGAGTTCACATGGTATTCTTGGTGGTTGCCAAGGTACTTACCGAAGGGTTGAGAGGCCACTTGACCTGTGGCGTGCTGTTGTTCATGGCCTCCAGGTTGTCGTGTCTCTGAGCGATCACTCAAGCTAACTTAGAGTTCACATGGTATTCTTGGTGGTTGCCAAGGTACTTACCGAAGGGTTGAGAGGCCACTTGACCTGTGGCGTGCTGTTGTTCATGGCCTCCAGGTTGTCGTGTCTCTGAGCGATCACTCAAAATAACTTAGAGTTCACATGGTATTCTTGGTGGTTGCCAAGGTACTTACCGAAGGGTTGAGAGGCCACTTGACCTGTGGCGTGCTGTTGTTCATGGCCTCCAGGTTGTCGTGTCTCTGAGCGATCACTCAAAATAACTTAGAGTTCACATGGTATTCTTGGTGGTTGCCAAGGTACTTACCGAAGGGTTGAGAGGCCACTTGACCTGTGGCGTGCTGTTGTTCATGGCCTCCAGGTTGTCGTGTATGTGAGCGATCACACAAGCTAACCTAGAGTTCACATGGTATTCTTGGTGGTTGCCAAGGTACTTACCGAAGGGTTGAGAGGCCACTTGACCTGTGGCGTGCTGTTGTTCGTGGCCTCCAGGTTGTCGTGTTTCTGAGCGATCACACACGCTAACTTAGAGTTCACATGGTATTCTTGGTGGTTGCCAAGGTACTTACCGAAGGGTTGAGAGGCCACTTGACCTGTGGCGTGCTGTTGTTCATGGCCTCCAGGTTGTCGTGTCTCTGAGCGATCACACACGCTAACTTAGAGTTCACATGGTATTCTTGGTGGTTGCCAAGGTACTTACCGAAGGGTTGAGAGGCCACTTGACCTGTGGCGTGCTGTTGTTCGTGGCCTCCAGGTTGTCGTGTTTCTGAGCGATCACACACCCAAACTTAGAGTTCACATGGTATTCTTGGTGGTTGCCAAGGTACTTACCGAAGGGTTGAGAGGCCACTTGACCTGTGGCGTGCTGTTGTTCATGGTCTCCAGGTTGTCGTGTATGTGAGCGATCACACAAGCTAACCTAGAGTTCACATGGTATTCTTGGTGGTTGCCAAGGTACTTACCGAAGGGTTGAGAGGCCACTTGACCTGTGGCGTGCTGTTGTTCATGGCCTCCAGGTTGTCGTGTCTCTGAGCGATGACACAAGATATCCTCGCGTACACGTACAACATGACGGTCAGCGGCACGAAGAACGACCCCATTGCCGAGAACACCACGTAGCCCTTGTTATCGTTGTACTCGCATTGGACCTCACTCTCGTTGGTAGACGTGTTAGAGTTGTTCAGGTACGGCGTGTCTGTGCGGTACCTTTAACACGAGGAGAAAACAATTGAGAATATTACCTTCAAAATTTTTGTTGGAGTTTTTTTTTTTTTTTTTTTTTTTTTTGCTTTTTACATGAAGTGTTAAGTTTTTGTTTTTCGTACGGTGAATTAATGAAATTACCATGCGAAATGTTTTTAATAATTAAATAGACAGCACCTTAAAAATAAAAATCCCATAACTTTTAACGCCTTTGATCACATTCAACGGTGTTAACTATAAATAGCTGATTGTTTATAATAATGTTTGGAGGGTTGCCGGTTAAGTTATTTGAAATGAATGAACTCCTTATGTGGTTCAAAACTACCCCAGTTGCCATTCATTAGTTTTTTATACGAGATCGACCTTAGTACTTAGCTAAGGAATGAGCTGTTGAGCTAGGTGAGTAAAAAAGATTAAAGTACTCGCACTTGTTTTCCATTCACACAAGTTTCATCTTAAGTGGTTTTTTTCGTTTGAATATCGTTTGTTTACCATATCATTGGAGGACACGTGATCATGATGGCGGTGAGCCAGACGACAAGTATCATGATGGCCGCGAGTCGCTTGGAACGTCTCCTCCTGGAGTAGTTGAGCGGCTGAGTAACGGCGAAGTATCGGTCGATGCTGATGGCACACAGACTCAGGATGGATGCTGTGGAAACACAGACGTCACACGACACCCACACTATGCACACCATGCGGCCCAGGATCCACTTACCTATTGGAGAAGGAGAACACCAGGAGAATCAAACTTAGTCTAGAATCCACTTACCACTTTTTAATTTATAAATTTGTAATGTTGCCGTGATTGTAAAACTGTGTAATTTACTAATATCAACTTTAAACTTGTTGTCTGAATAATTTTGATCGTGTTTTTAGATGAGAAAAGAGAAGGTTCCTTCTTAAATATTCTGAAAAAAGAGAACATAGAAGATTACAACAACTCGAGCAATACTGCCTGTGTAGGAGCTGCAAGTAAAACTTGGTGCTCAGTAGGAATAAATTCAAAATTATTCTTTCCTAAGGTCTTTATGGAACATAATAAATCAAAACTTATTATGCTAAATATTAATTTAGGAAAAGGGTGACTTTTAAACAAGCTACACTAAATTTATGTGGGGGAAAATAATGTTTACCTACGACCGTTTTTTAAGTAACCGTTTCAGTTCAGTTCTTAGAATTGAAAATTTTCACATAATAGCATTGTTTACTTTTATAACAGCATAGCTTTACTCGTAACAACACGGGTAATGGACCAAAGAGGTTCAAGGATTAAGGGAGAAGAAGTAAAACTCTAATGATTCGAACTTCGACTAATCAGCTGTTCAGGGCAATTTAATTGTTGAGTTGTGCTTGGTACAATGTTTCGTTGCGTCAATCTCAGTGGCAATGAGAGGTTATAAAAGAAAACATAAATTCTCTTCGAAGTTATGAGTAGTGATTTTTAGTAAATAAAACATTGTCGTGCGTAGGTAAAATAGTGTACACAACTCGCGTAAATAGTGCGACACTATCTTTACGCAATCGTTGCGTTTACAATCTTTGACTTATTCATATCAGTTACCTTCATTGAAATCGGTATAATATGTTAAACTACTTCCGATCAATAAATTGATTTAAAGGGATGTTGTTGTTAGTGTTACCAGTGAACATTACAGTGTTTACGACATTAATAGTTAGTTTAGTTATACTACAATGTTAAGCTTAGTAACGTACGAATATATACTTATTTGGTGAAAAGATTAAAGATAGTATAGTTACGAAACAGTATGTTATTTATTTTTAGAAAGACTAACCGTTGTTGAGATGTTTAGTGACGGCAAGAGGCATAACAAATATGCCGACTAGCCAGTCTGCAATGGCGAGGGACATTACGAAACAGTTGGTAACAGTGCGGAGACGTCGTGTTGTAATTACAGCTGCGATGATCAGCACGTTGCCAACCTGGCAACAAAATATACTGTCACCACATCAACCTTCATGCATTATCTATACTATTATGTAAAAATATAAAGGTGTCTGTGTGTTTTTTGTAAGACAAGTCTTTTAAATGTGAATTTGTTTGCTCTATATTCAATTCTCAGTATATTTTCTCCCAGCAAACAAACATAAAACTCACAATATTCACATTTGTCTCAATATGTAAATGTAAATAAGTAGAACTGACTCATACTGCAGCAAAAACAGCAGTGCATACATTCGTTGCAGGTCTAAAGTAGCATTTTTGCTCCCTAGGGAGTAAAAGTCAGCTGTTGTAAATTTCGATTGGAAGCAATTAATTATTATCGTTTATTTATTGATTCAATTATTAGATTGCGTTTTAGCTTATTGTAGCATTCTTGTCAATAGTTTGACATATCGATCTTAAAATGTACAGTCAAACAATCGTAATACGGTTGAATCACTTACTAAACAGCAGCTTGTTTTACATTAGCAGAATTGAAAACAAGCTAGATTCGTTTTGAGAGGGGTTATCTTTTTATTAAAAGTTCTTTTTGTAGCAAAGTTAGGTAATTGATGATATTTTTAATATACATAGTATGTTAATTAATATAAATAATGTGTACAATTTAAGATAACAAAATCTCTTTTTATTGAAAAGTTTTTTTATTTATTGGCACGTTATAAATACATTGGTGCTAAGACTAATTTAATTTCACTTGAATGGTAGGCAATTATTATGATTTTAAAAGTAGGTATGTGAACGTGGACAAACGATATCGTAGATTGCAAACGAATTCAACCCCGTTTTATAAAATTAACAATTAGAACAAATTATCTTTGCCTGATGTGAGGCAATTTAATTAAAAAGTGCATTGTTGACACCGTTATCAGTTTAAGTTGATGACACTTCAATAAATCAGATAAACAACTTTACGAGGAGCCCAATATTGGTTCGCAGCTTCAAGTTTATTAAAAAGTTAATATCAAGTTATAATGGCCACTATAAACTTAACTTGTTGACAAAACTTACAGTACGTTGGCTGCAGTACCATACAATAACATTTAAAAATCCGAATGATGTAACAATATAAAATAAACCTTTCTTTTATCGATTCAAGAGTTAACAACTAATCCAAACATCTTTTACTACTGTTCTATTCTATTTTTTATTGCCGTTTTGTGACTTTTAACAATCAGTGTAAAAAGTGTGTTAGTATAGTGTTAATGTATATCTCAAAATCCAGGGGAAGATGTTAACAATTTTTTTTTAATTAGGGACTTAGGCCTATAGCCCTAAAACGTGATTGGTGACAACCAATACCTAAGAGAAAATCATATTTCACTACACAACTCATTTGAAATTTTAAAATTTTACATTGGTCTTATGGGTTGTCAAGTAACTACGTTGGTTGAACAAAATAACAAGAAAAAAGTAAACAAAATACGTGTAACATTAATTGTTATAACAAACCATCCACAGTATTCCAGCAAATAAAAAAATACAGTATAAAGGGAAACACGTCAGTTGTTTTTGCTATCGAGCAAAGATTACACTGAAGATTATCGATATTGGGGTGATATATATTAACATATTAATATATCACAATCTCTGTGAAATTTGTGTAATGAAGTATACACACATTTACATCACAATCACAGTCAAATTTAAAATTTGTGAAAATTGTGTGAAATTTGAGTGGCGAAGTACACACAAATTCACATCACAGTCACAGACAGTTGTTGTATTTGATCATATAAATAGTCCAAATATTACACAATTTTTCCCAATGGGTCGACATAAAAATATTATATGATTTACTTGTGTCAATACTACAGCAAAGTACACAAATATTTACGTGGTAATGCAAATTTCCTAATATTATCTAATCAAGACGAATTAAATATAAACATGCGTATAACAATCATGTTGGTTGGTACTTTTCATTTAACCAATTTAGAAATCTCTTCCACCGATGTTGTTATAACACTAAATATGGGTTTTTTCGTAATAAAAAAGGAAAAGCTAAAGAACGTTGGCATATTCAGCTTTATGTTTAACTAATTTCATAATGACTAAGAGCAAGAGTATTGGTACAATCTTCCTGAATAAACCTCTTGTCATCATCAAAAGAGATTTTACTTTTATTCATAGTTAAGGTTTGAAGGTGGTGGTTTGTAGATGTAATTCTTGTGACATCCTCATAATAATCTAGCCCAGTTGCAAGACAATTTAAAAAATGTTTGTGTCTAAGGAGATGTTTCACCTCCAAAGGATTGCTTGTCTTCTTCGTCTAACTATTTTAAAGAATGTAATAATATAGCTTTGGCCTTCAGCCATGGTATTCATACTGACCATCCAACTCGTCTGTAATTGGCGACTTTCTTCCCTTAAATTTGCCAGTAACTAATTAGATTTTAATTACTGTATATTAAATTGTCTTTACTATATCCGGAGGTAATGAAATAGTGCAAGTCACATTCTATATCCTTGTAAAATCTGTTGTAAAACTATAGAATACATTAGAGAATCTGTATGTGTCGTTAGGTCATTAGAAATCTTTTTTTCTTATATTTTGACACATAATTAGTGTAAATCATACATCATTACTGATATCCAAAAATGGTCGTTCTTAAATATGTTGGTTTATTAAACTTTATAGCTAATTTATTTAAATGTATAGCATGCGAATTGCTATCAAACTGTATGCCACCGTAAAACCTTGTATTGGCTACATATTTTGTTATCATTCATTACACGGACTCATCTTTGAGATGTATATAACGAAATTTGGGTTGGTTTATGTTCGATGCAAGAGATAGTTAATTAAAAGTTTGAAAAAAGTCTTTTTCGAATTCATTTACAGTATTTTTTCACTTTTCAATATTCCATTTAATATATGGCGCAAGCCATTTCAAACCATAGGTCCAAGGGTTTAATATATATAGGGCCTTAAACTATTTTAAAATCAATTTGGGACATTTTTAATTTTTTCTTGGAACAAAACTTAAAATCGCTTATATCTCAAAAACTGCTTGAGATATGGCAAAACGGTTGAAAATTAGGTAAACTACGTGGATTCCAATTTTGATCAAAACCAATAATACAGCGTAAAAAATTCAAAAAGGGGGGGACATTTGTATAGGGATGTACCTAGAATAGGATTTTATTTAAACTGGCTAAAAAAGGTCCCCATGTTATTCTTATGGGAAAAGTGTCCAAAGTTCCTTTTCTTTCCTAGTTTCTTCCTACTTACGAGAGTATTTTAGAGAGTATGCTCATGCTAAAGTTTTACTTTTACTTAAAGAGAGATTTAGGATGGTACCAAAAAATAAATCACACATCCCTTACATAGATAAATAATTGTATTTTTCATGATAACTGTTAATAAAACTTACATGTAAAGTCATAAATAACTAGTGTACCTGTTGCTCGAAATCGAGCAATTGTCAAGTACTGGTATTATACAGATGTTATTTTAAACTTTGTGTACTACAGTAATAACAGTAATAATTTTTGGTGAGTTTAAAAGACCCGACTAAATGCTTATGTAACTAATTGAAATACTCACGCTATTTAATAGCGCATTGAAATAATAAACGCTTCTTGTAATAATATTTTAGCATTTTTCGGACCCAGCCATATTTGTTTGTGTTTTCTACAAATGTTTCCCTACTTAAAGCTGTTACCAGTAAACATTTCTTGCGTGCATTTATTTGATCTGACTTTAGGTAGGTTTACTTTACCACTGTGACAACCTGATGTGTATGTTCTTCATGTTTTTTTCACTTCCAAAATAAGTTGCTTAGCATAACTGTCAAAAATTATTCATCTCCCCAAGTGATTGTGTACCTGGATTCCTTACTGTGAGACGAGGCCTCTCCTCTACTCTTCTCGTACATATAAGATTTCCTATTAATTGTCTCCTCCTCTTGTTTTCAATATTTATCCTTTAAACTCAAGAAATTGTCAGTTCTTCCAACAAAACTGATTGACTGTTTAGATTTGTCTATAACCTCCTAAATATTACAAACATCATTATTTTCTTCCAAAAAGCTAATGAGTTTCTTTTTATATATAGTTGTTTTTGTTTTTAAATTTGTTTTCAATGTAATTCTTATGGGGAAAATGAAACCTTTGAAAGCGTCTTGTGCCCTTAAGGGTAAGAGTTTTTAAATTCTAAAACCTTTATGCAAAACTACGAACTGAGACAAATTATTTGACTCCTCAAATGTTAAAATCGGTCCAGAAATAATGGAGGAGTTTTGTTCACAAAAAACAGCCCTCACGTATTAATATAAGAAATGTTTATCCTACTTTTTTATTAGCTATGGAGAAAGGAGATTTAACGTACCACAGTAACAATTATAAGGGTGACAAATACAACAGCGAGACTGATATCCTGCCAGCCCCAGGACGTAGGCTCTGCGTCCATCCTCGTCACGATACATCGCAGCCTGCAACAGAGAAGATATACCATGTGACTAATACTACAGTGATACTGATATCAAGCCAGCACCAGGACGTAGGCTCTGCGTCCATCCTCGTCACGACACATCTCAGCCTGCAACAGAGAAGATATACCATGTGACTAATACTACAGTGATACTGATATCAAGCCAGCACCAGGACGTAGGCTCTGCGTCCATCCTCGTCACGACACATCTCAGCCTGCAATAGAGAAGAAATACCAAGTGAAAAATACTACAGCGATACTAATATCCAGCCAGCCCTAAGACGTAGACTCTGCGTCCATCCTCGTCACGACACATTGCAGCCTGCAAAAGAGAAGAAATATAAAATGGCAAATACCACAGCGATAATAATATCCAGCCAGCCCTAAGACGTAGACTCTGCGTCCATCCTCGTCACGACACATTGCAGCCTGCAAAAGAGAAGAAATACAAAATGGCAAATACCACAGCGATAATAATATCTAGCCAGCCCTAAGACGTAGACTCTGCGTCCATCCTCGTCACGACACATTGCAGCCTGCAACAGAGAAGAAATACTAAGTGACAAATACTACAGCGATATTGATATCCAGCCAGCCCTAAGGCGAAGACTCTGCGTCCATCATCGTCACGACACATCGCAGCCTGCAACGGAGAATATATACCATGTGACTAATACTACAGTGATACTGATATCCTGCCAGCCCCAGGACGTAGGCTCTGCGTCCATCCTCGTCACGATACATCGCAGCCTGCAACAGAGAAGATATACCATGTAACTAATACTACAGTGATACTGATATCAAGCCAGCCCCAGGACGTAGGCTCTGCGTCCATCCTCGTCACGACACATCTCAGCCTGCATAAGAGGCGAAATACCAAGTGACAAATACTACAGCGGTAATGATATCCAGCCAGCCCCAGGACGTAGACTCTGCGTCTATCCTCGTTACGACACATCTCAGCCTGCAAAAGAGGCGAAATACCAAGTGACAAATACTACAGCGATCATGATATCCTGCCAGCCCCAGGACGTAGGCTCTGCGACTATCCTCGTCACGAGACATCTCAGCCTGCAAAAGAGGCGAAATACCAAGTGACAAATACCACAGCGATAATAATATCCAGCCAGCCCTAAGACGTAGGCTCTGCGTCCATCCTCGTCACGACACATCGCAGCCTGCAACACAGGCGAAATACCAAGTGACAAATACTACAGCAATAATGATATCCAGCCAGCTCCAGGACGTAGGCTCTGCATCCATCCTCGTCACGACACATCGCAGCCTGCAACAGAGACGAAATACCAAGTCACAAATACTACAGCGATACTGACATCCAGCCAGCACTACGACGTAGGCTGTTTATAGTTCTATGCGTAGGCTCTGCGTCCATCCTCGTGCCGACACATTTCAGCCTGCAACAGAAGCGAAATACCAAGTGACAAATACAACAGCGATACTGATATCCAGCCAGCCCCAGCACGTAGGCTCTGCGTCCGACCTCGTCACGACACATCGCAGCCTGCAACAGAGAAGATATACCATGTGACTAATACTACAGTGATACTGATATCATGCCAGCCCCAGGACGTAGGCTCTGCGTCCATCCTCGTCACGACACATCTCAGCCTGCAACAGAGACGAAATACCAAGTCATAAATACTACAGCGATAATAATATTCTCCCAGCCCCAGGACGTAGGCTCTGCGTCCATCCTCGTCACGATACATCGCAGCCTGCAACAGAGACGAAATACCAAGTCACAAATACTACAGCGATAATAATATTCTCCCAGTCCCAGGACGTAGACTCTGCGTCCATCCTCGTCACGACACATCGCAGCCTGCAACAGAGAAGATATACCATGTGACTAATACTACAGTGATACTGATATCAAGCCAGCCCCAGGACGTAGGCTCTGCGTCTATCCTCGTCACGACACATCTCAGCCTGCATAAGAGGCGAAATACCAAGTGACAAATACTACAGCGGTAATGATATCCAGCCAGCTCCAGGACGTAGGCTCTGCGTCTATCCTCGTCACGACACATCTCAGCCTGCAAAAGAGGCGAAATACCAAGTGACAAATACTACAGCGATAATGATATCCTGCCAGCCCCAGGACGTAGGCTCTGCGACTATCCTCGTCACGAGACATCTCAGCCTGCAAAAGAGGCGAAATACCAAGTGACAAATACCACAGCGATAATAATATCCAGCAAGCACTAAGACGTAGGCTCTGCGTCCATCCTCGTCACGACACATCGCAGCCTGCAACACAGGCGAAATACCAAGTGACAAATACCACAGCGATAATAATATCCAGCCAGCCCTAAGACGTAGGCTCTGCGTCCATCCTCGCCACGACACATCGCAGCCTGCAACACAGGCGAAATACCAAGTGACAAATACTACAGCTATAATGATATCCAGCCAGCTCCAGGACGTAGGCTCTGCATCCATCCTCGTCACGACACATCTCAGCCTGCAACAGAGACGAAATACCAAGTCACAAATACTACAGCGATACTGACATCCAGCCAGCACTACGACCTAGGCTGTTTATAGTTCTATGCGTAGGCTCTGCGTCCATCCTCGTGCCGACACATTTCAGCCTGCAACAGAAGCGAAATACCAAGTGACAAATACTACAGCGATACTGATATCCAGCCAGCCCCAGCACGTAGGCTCTGCGTCCGACCTCGTCACGACACATCGCAGCCTGCAACAGAGAAGATATACCAAGTCACAAATACTACAGCGATAATAATATTCTCCCAGCCCCAGGACGTAGGCTCTGCGTCCATCCTCGTCACGATACATCGCTGCCTGCAACAGAGACGAAATACCAAGTCATAAATACTACAGCGATAATAATATTCTCCCTGTCCCAGGACGTAGGCTCTGCGTCCATCCTCGTCACGATACAACGCAGCCTGCAACAGAGACGAAATACCAAGTCACAAATACTACAGCGATAATAATATTCTCCCAGTCCCAGGACGTAGACTCTGCGTCTATCCTCGTCACGATACAACGCAGCCTGCAACAGAGACGAAATACCAAGTCACAAATACTACAGCGATAATAATATTCTCCCAGTCCCAGGACGTAGACTCTGCGTCTATCCTCGTCACGACACATCGCAGCCTGCAACACAGGCGAAATAACAAGTGACAAATACTACAGCGATACTGATATCAAGCCAGCCCCAGGACGTAGGCTCTGCGTCCATCCTCGTCACGACACATCGCAGCCTGCAACAGAGAAGATATACCATGTGACTAATACTACAGTGATACTGATATCAAGCCAGCACCAGGACGTAGGCTCTGCGTCTATCCTCGTCACGACACATCTCAGCCTGCATAAGAGACGAAATACCAAGTGACAAATACTACAGCGGTAATGATATCCAGCCAGCCCCAGGACGTAGGCACTGCATCTATCCTCGTCACGACACATCTCAGCCTGCAAAAGAGGCGAAATACCAAGTGACAAATACTACAGCGATAATGATATCCTGCCAGCCCCAGGACGTATGCTCTGCGACTATCCTCGTCACGAGACATCTCAGCCTGAAAAAGAGGCGAAATACCAAGTGACAAATACCACAGCGATAATAATATCCAGCCAGCCCTAAGACGTAGGCTCTGCGTCCATCCTCGTCACGACACATCTCAGCCTGCAAAAGAGGCGAAATACCAAGTGACAAATACTACAGCGATAATGATATCCTGCCAGCCCCAGGACGTAGGCTCTGCGACTATCCTCGTAACGAGACATCTCAGCCTGCAAAAGAGGCGAAATACCAAGTGACAAATACCACAGCGATAATAATATCCAGCCAGCCCTAAGACGTAGGCTCTGCGTCCATCCTCGTCACGACACATCGCAGCCTGCAACACAGGCGAAATACCAAGTGACAAATACCACAGCGATAATAATATCCAGCCAGCCCTAAGACGTAGGCTCTGCGTCCATCCTCGTCACGACACATCGCAGCCTGCAACACAGGCGAAATACCAAGTGACAAATACCACAGCGATTATAATATCCAGCCAGCCCTAAGACGTAGGCTCTGCGTCCATCCTCGTCACGACACATCGCAGCCTGCAACACAGGCGAAATACCAAGTGACAAATACTACAGCTATAATGATATCCAGCCAGCTCCAGGACGTAGGCTCTGCATCCATCCTCGTCACGACACATCGCAGCCTGAAACAGAGACGAAATACCAAGTCACAAATAGTACAGCGATACTGACATCCAGCCAGCACTACGACGTAGGCTGTTTATAGTTCTATGCGTAGGCTCTGCGTCCATCCTCGTGCTGACACATTTCAGCCTGCAACAGAAGCGAAATACCAAGTGACAAATACTACAGCGATACTGATCCAGCCAGCCCCAGCACGTAGGCTCTGCGTCCGACCTCGTCACGACACATCGCAGCCTGCAACAGAGAAGATATACCATGTGACTAATACTACAGTGATACTGATATCATGCCAGCCCCAGGACGTAGGCTCTGCGTCCATCCTCGTCACGACACATCTCAGCCTGCAACAGAGACGAAATACCAATTCACAAATACTACATTGATACTGCTATCCAGCCAACCCTACAACGTAGGCTCTGCGTACACACTCGTCACGACACATCGCAGCCTGCAACAGAGACGAAATACCAAGTCACAAATACTACAGCGATAATAATATTCTCCCAGCCCCAGGACGTAGGCTCTGCGTCCATCCTCGTCACGATACATCGCAGCCTGCAACAGAGACGAAATACCAAGTCATAAATACTACAGCGATAATAATATTCTCCCTGTCCCAGGACGTAGGCTCTGCGTCCATCCTCGTCACGATACATCGCAGCCTGCAACAGAGACGAAATACCAAGTCACAAATACTACAGCGATAATAATATTCTCCCAGTCCCAGGACGTAGACTCTGCGTCCATCCTCGTCACGTCACATCGCAGCCTGCAA